CTATCATACCCATGGTTTGAACTTCCAAGGCTTTTGTTCACCATCTGAAGTAAATTCTTGCTTAGTCTTGTGGTTAAAATAGCAGGTCTAAAGTTGATCACAGCTTTTATTTTAAAATACAGTTGTTTAACTCCATTAAGGATTCTTATTGCTGCATTTATACTTATTTCAGTATTGTGGAATGGAAGTTATTTTTGACCTCTGATAAATTGAACATTTTATGATTTGCATTAAATGCTACTACTTTATATATTCCTGCCTGTCATTTACAACGACAAATGTTTTTGCATCTCAAATCTTCTCATTTCTGCCCATTGTCCCCTAAATTACCCTACCAAGTTGTTTTTTTTTTTTTCCATTTATTCTGGTAGTAGGTTGAGCTTGGTGGGACACCAGGTGCCCACCAAGCCACTCTACAACACCCCTTCCTAGCAGGACAGGGGAGAGAAAACAAGATGGAAAACAACTAGGTGGTTGAGATAAGGCAAAAAAACCCATACAAACCCAAACTTTCTCATCTCTCCTAAAAATTCTATTATGGGAACTTATTACAATGATCAGTCCTTCTACCCTCATTACTTGTTTTACTTAATTATAGAATTACAAAAATCCTGACTATATTAATAGGTGTTAAATCTAAATCATCCTATTTTACAGATGACTCTGAGGCAAAGGAAAGTTTACCATTGCATCAACTGCTTAGCTGGAGGTCTCCAAACTTCTACAGATTAGTTTGTTGGGCTCTTAGTTGTGCAACAGCTGTAGAGTTAATGTAAATTTCTATACCCTTCTTTAGTCCTTATAGTCATACTGTTGCCAAAGAGACTCTGAAGCTCTTCAAAGAAGGGAAGTACAATCACTACCTCTTTCTTTACAGCACATACCAGCTAAAACCCAGACCAGATAATCTTCACAAATTACCTGAGAATGCCTGAACATGCGGGCTATCACTCAGACTTAGCTTTGTTATAAACTACAGCAACCTCCTCCCAGCTGTGGGAACACCACAGATTGAATACAGACACTGAAAATAGAGAGGCAAATCAAAACAGGAAGGAAAGCACAAGATCAGTAGATAGCATTTTAAGGCAAACAGATCTCCGTAGTTCTCTGCAGATAACTTATAGTAGTAGTTCTCAGGCAGTAACTTATGCAGTCTCCCAAGTTCTGCACATCAAGTCAATTTTATTTATTTAATTAATATGACATATTTAATCAGCATAGATTCTTAGTATGGACGGTTCTACTCTCTGCTTTCAAAGTGCTATCAATTGTATTTTTTTGCTTCCCTTTTATAGCTAGACTTCAGATTCTGCTATCATTTTGTCAAGTAGGTTAACTTTCTCCTGTGCTTTACCTTTCCCCTGTGCTGCAACTCCCATTTGTTCTGGTCTGCATTAAAAAAAAAAATCATGGTTTTTTTCCCTGTCATTCCCATCCTTTCCGTCTCTCCCATCCCCCTGTAATCTTCTGCTTTAAGATCCAGCATTTTTTCTCAGCACTTCCAAGGTTCTAAAGAAATCAGACAGCTCTAACCTCATTCCAGTCACTGTCCTGCTCCCATTCCATGAGGGATTTTAAGTATTTCTTCTGCAATCACTTCTTTCCCCCTCTCATTCTGTGGAGAATGCAATTTCATTTTCTCCCCTGGCATACGTCTTCCCTCTTTAAAGTTTGTTTTCAATGCTCTTATAAATAAATTTCCTATTCTGAGATCATTTAGGGCATTACAACAGTGTCTATAATCAGACTTTTCCAATACTCTTGTAAGCCAAGGAGAGCTCTGCTGGCAGTCCTAATACTCTTTTCTTGATTGATAGTGAAATATCTAATGGAAAATTATGTTTTGTTCAGTTCTCTTGTTACTACAGCTGTACACTGAAAGGTGATGATGCAGTAAGAAAAAAGTATTGCTCCTTTTCCCAACAAACTTGGTTAAAATTCCAGCGTTTAAAAATAAATACTGAGGTGATTGTGAAAAACAGCTGCTGTCAGTACCAGGATGCATTGGTGGTTTAGAAACTTGGCATCAAAGTCCAGGTTTTCCTAGTCGAGATATCCTGGCTCAGGCTCTTAATTCCATACACCACATGACAAAGGATATTGTAAAAGTACGCAAGAATTACACCTTTTTAGCATGGGCACTTTCCAATCTGAATCAAAACATTAGCACAAAGACTTTACAATAACAGAAACTACATTTGATCTTTTATAAATTTGACGTCCTCTGAATTTGTGTTCTCATTCAGTTTGTACTGGGCTCCTGTTTTACAGTTGACATGAAAAAGAAGAAAACCAAAGATCATTCATCTGGAATACCACACAATTAAATGCTAACTTTTGGCCCTGTGCTAGTACATTTAAAACCTCATGTTAAGAACAACATTTGTCAGCAGTATCTATATATTTGTAACTGACATTTTTCCGATACTTGTAAACAAGGTAATAATATTTTTTTAAAAAGGCATTCCTACAGCTCACCATTGAATTTATATATATTGTATTATACATGCACTGATGTTTCTGCACACAAACCACCTCCACCCCCCAATTCTGCTTCAGGCAGGAAGTTTCTCTGCTGTTAGTTTCTTGTAGGTCAGTACTATATAGTCTCAAATATTACTGTCACAATCACATTCTGGAATGTGATCATACTTAAATGCTTCTGAAACTTCACTTACACTTACAAAGTCAAGTGAAAAAAAAATTTCACTTACAAAGGACACTATTATTCCACCCAAAATTACTTCAAAAATTCAAGAACATTGCCTCCAGTATTAGTAAATCAAATTAATTTGAAAAAATCTTCACCATTTCATAAAGGATGACCTCCTCTGCAATACACTTTTTAAAGACTCCTGAAGGAATCCTGAAGTATAATATGGGACTTTCCCTGGAAAGAAATGAAAATACAAAGAACTGCCAAAGCATAAAGCCTTTTAAGTAACAAACACTGAACAGACTGCCTAAAATTCTAGCTTAGTTAAGTAGCAAAACTGAACACGGAAAACCTGATAAAAATCTGACAGATCTCTCCTTCTCTTTTCTTAAGAAAGATGTAGGAGATTGAGAATTCACAATCCAAAGGAGAATGGCCAAGTATGTAGGTGGCAGTCAGACTGAAAAAGAGTGGTTAACTGCATCATGGAACAAAATCAGCACTCTCCCCTAACACTGTACTTGTTTGCGTGGGGAAGCAGTTGAGAAGAAGCTGTGTGTTGATACTTTATCACTCAGAACAGCTGTAAAATGAATCAGTCAACACTTAAAAGCTCACACAACACTTAACAATGTGGCCATAAATTTCAGTGCTTGTCACAAATTCCAATTTGGCATAGTTATAGCCAATGTACCTACATTCTCCTGACAATTTCAAATATGTACACTTTTTCAACTGTTCTGCAACAGTGGTTTGTACTTTTGTGCTATCTGCTGTATTTAAAGCTGTCCCAGAGGCTACACTTAATGGAATGGAAATGCTTTGCTATAAAATTTACCTTAGGCATCAGTTTAGATGATAAATATTCCATCTGTTCCATCAAAAAACCATCAGCTTAAAGATGAGGTTTAAAACATGGTTTTATGAGCTGTTACAAAACTTCTCAATTAAGAAGTAAATGATTACAGCAAAATAATTTTATGCAAAATAAATTTAATAGGCTTTATCAGGTATTGTGGTCTGAAGGTTAGTATTAGGATATGTTCCACTTCACATTAAATTTTATATAATAAATCTTCTAAACACTAATTTATTTTCAGAAAGAATGTCTCGCTAGCTTCTCTAAGAAATTCTTAAACTTTTGTATTAGCATTTTCATCTCCATCCCCCTCAGGAACACTAACTTCTTTCTAGGCAGAATAAAGTTAACAGATGTGCAAATGATCATTCAAGCAAATTGCTTATGAATTTTGCATTGCTTATCGCTTTTTTACTGATGATTCCCTGGTTTCCTAGAGGAATCAAGAGGTACAATATAATCGTGGCCAACAGAAAATATTTTATATGCTTAAAGAAATACTTACATTTTCACTTTCAGGCGTAGTTACGCATTCCATTTCAGATCATTCAATCACAAAAAAACCCAACAACTTTAACTTAAAAGCCACAAATCAATATGTTATATCATAGCTTACTTATTTTTGCATGTAATACAAAAGCCCCAAAGTTCTTTTTATTTTTTTATAAATAGAAATAGGAAAACTGAATTTCTTCCTACAAGTTCAGGGGACTGAAGCTGGTTTTAAAAAACAGTAGTATGATCTTGAAATGAAAGAAACCTCTGACTATTTTATAGCACTGCTACAGTGTAAACCAACAATTATGTACGTGGAAGACTTTGCAGTAATTCAGTTTGATACTGAAGTGAGAGGTCTATCTTGTGTGCAACACTGTACGAAATACAGACGTACTGCTCAGGCCTCTACAGCATTACTGTCCAAAAAGTTTCAGATAGTTTTATTCTAAATTTTCCCAAACAATTAAAGTAATGACTGATGTTAAAGAAACGACTCCTCAAGTCACTGTCCAGATTAGCATGCATATCAGAAAGCAACATAAAAAGTATCATATTTTATCTCAGTCAACTGAATTTTATCTAGACAACAGAAGTGCTTAAGCATACATTTTTAAGTTTCATATTACCCGTTTCAAATCTGCTGTCAAAGACACTACACACTTTAAAGGATACAACCAGCTAAACTTGAATGCATGCTTATGTTTGGTTTTCTTTTACTCATCTTTTTGCTTTGAATTTAACACTTATTTTAGTCACTCCAAAGCAGTGCAGCTATAAGTAACATGGATTTGATCTGGCAGCTTGGAAAGACAGAGATTAGATAAAATATCCTTATTACATATATCAAACATGCTTTATGGTGTACTCAATTATTATGTCACACCAGTTAAAAGACTGTGTATTTGTTCTTTTAAACAGCATGGGGGGGTTTTTAACAATCAAGAGCTCTATAATTGCAGTTGTAGACCTCATAAAGACTCAAAATCCAGTTTTGAAGAGATTTTAATTAAATCCCAAGTCCAAAAAGTCTTCACAACAAAGCAGGCAGGAAAAATATTAGTTGGAAATACAAAGCTCTAGGACAGTAATACCAGAGACAAACCTATAGAGTTTTAATGGCTGAAGAATAAGCTTTTTTCCAGCTTCTTAAAGAGATGGAACAGTTTTGTTCTTTCAGTAAGCCTTCTTGAAAGTTCAAATTATTTAGAATCTCTGCTTCCAGTTTTGGGATCATTGTTGATAAATATTAGTATTTTCTCTTAATTAACCATACATATACAAAATTTTAAGTGTTCACACAGAAGGAGCAAGAACCAATAATCGAGAATACATATAGTAGTCCATATACCGGTGGGGGACTAGATTGTGACACCATCAAAATTACTCCCTCTGAAGTATCAAGAAATGTCTTTTCCAGCACATTTTCAAATTAAATATGAAGGTCCTCAAGGCTCCCTCAGCTTAGACTAAAGTCTCAGATAATACAAATACAAAAAAAAAATATGTATAGAAAAGCCCTTCCAAGTGTGGACCTGTCAGCCTTTTCACATGCTCTCATTTCAGGAGGAAAGCACTAATCTTAGTTACCATTTTAAAGCTATTATACCTATAAAATAATTGTTTGCAATAATAAACGAGCAAGAATTTTAACATAACATCCTAATTCTCAAGTTTTCTACAGTCAGCATTTTCCAATTCCGATAAACCAAATATTGCAAGACGAATTCTAACTCCTGAGTGGTGCTCACAGTACTTTCTTCAATACTTTGCATACATTGAGCTACTGCATTCATGTTTCAAGCTCCACTGTCTGTAAAATGAAAACAGAGATTCCAACTGTACCAGAAATTGCTAATCTGACACTGAAACAGTGGTTTCATTGTCATGAGTAATGGGATTGAGAATTTCTGTGTAACTCCACTTCCTTAACAGGTACAGTAACAAAGTGTTAGTTCTTTAGGCAAAAGACGTGAATCTGTTGGATTAAAGCTTCATTCTCTCCCTGTAATCAATAACTTGAGGGCCTTCTGTAGATTCTGCACAGCAGTGCTCACATCTTCATACTGCAATGCACTGCCAGCATATTTGCAATATTTTTGAGCTCTGGCAAAGTCCTCTGGAGTCAAGCGGACTTCTCCTGCAAAAACATAAGTATTACAAAGTTAATACAAAGGAAATCTGATTTAAGCATCCTTTCTTACAATTTTTATGTTTTACTTATGTTTGTGGTAATATGAAAACCAGGCTAATATTTGTGGTAGTATTGCAAAGACCAAGCTACAATACTTCTGTTCTGTTCTCTTTGTCTTTCCAATCATATGAAGCTTAACTTCTTTGCTATTGAAAAATGTGAGGACCTTTCTAAACACTGGTATTTGCATGACCCAGTGCCTTTCAAAAGTAAGCCAATACCTTTGAGAAAGACCTGCTCTTCATCTAAGAAAGCAAAAGAGAGCTGTTACATGACATTAAGTTAGCTGTAATCATGTTACAACCTACAAGAGACAATGTCAGTGCTTTTTGTGTTTACAGCATAATTACTCTGCTTTCTTCAGGAATAATACATTATTAGAAAATGTTCATTCTCAACTGGAATAACTTTTCTGAATGTAGAAGCATTTCTCACTGGTATGTTTTCACACATTTTGTTTCTGTTTTTCAAAATAATTTTTATGTTTCCAATTTTATGTAAAATGTAAGAAAACAAGACTGATGTCATAAAATGTGCCTGTTTTTGTAACACTGTAGAACAAAAAATATTCCCATAATATAGTATAAGCCTACTGTTACTTATTAATCAGAGTATTTTCTTGATGTAAGTTAAAACTTTAGGAATTCTGTAGCAATCAAACACATGCATTCAGTCATTAGAGAAGGCATAGTAGAGACTTATGCCCTAACTGGCAGAAGATTTTATATGTGAATAGTATCACTGATGTGGGTGTAAAATAAAGCACAGCTGTGTTACTGTACCTCCTTCCACCCACAAATTCACTTCAAGTTTTAAGGCCAATCCCATGCTAACCCAATAATCAAAAAATGGACAAATTGTAAAACCTTTACTCAGATTCTTTCAAAACAACTTGTAAATGATAGATATTTATGGGCACAGATAAATAATTATATAAAACACTAAAGATTATGTATATATATTTGATAATTTTCCATACAGTATGGTATAAGCAATAGATTTCATATTAAGAGAAAATGCGCTTTTAAATGCACTGCACATTTTACATAAGATTTAGTTAAACGAAGATTTAGCTTTCTAAGTACATTTTACTTTTAAGCAACAACATGAACATACTTATAGCCATTTTTTATGGCACAATTTCAATCAGCTGGATCCTTTCAAAATAGAACTGTTGTTAGCAATACTGTGAGAATGTTTACTAAAGAATCTCTATTCTTATCAAAAAATGTCTATTATATTTGCTTTTCCTTCCCCCAATCTTACTATTTAAGAACAGCTTTTGAACAAATAAGAAAGAAAACCTGGGAATATTAAAAGCTAGACTGGTCTGCTGGTTTTCAAAACAATCCTACCCAAATAAAAAGCAGAAAGGTAAACACTCTGAAGATTAATTTTATCAATTTTTAAAATATGCTCTAGAACTCTACTAGTTTTCCTTTTAATAACAAAATATAACCATTGAGGGACATAAAAACTTGATGGGCTTGTTATCATTGCAATGTATATTAATTTCACACTTAATAAGTGAAGCCTTATTAAATACCTTAAAACACATACACATGTGAGTAAATACACAAGGGAGTGCATAAATACAGGCACACACCTTGAGTATTTTGTAATCTCAATAAAGTCACTGACTAAAAGCAGCTGGGGTCAATCTGAAACCACATTACCGAACATCTTTAAGAAATTAAAAAGACTAAGTTCCCCTCAAAGTAGCTTTATGCTATGATGCCAAAAGAAACTACAAAATCATTCTTTAAAAACTGGCCAAGGCATCAGTCCAGTATTCAACTAATTTATTGGAAGCAAGCCTAAATTCACCCGTCTAATCTTATTTTTACAGTATGAACTCTATTAATGTTTTGCTGGCATAAAGCCTTATTTATTATAAAATCTACCTCAGATGCTATTATGACGAAACTTGAGGGAAAAAAAATTAATAATTTTAAAATTATAAACCAAAGTTTATACAGTAAGAGGGTTGATCTTTTGATGTGCTCAGTAGCCTGAGCGCCTATTGAAGTCAACACCTCACAATGGAATAGCAAAATAGAAACAAACCAGTTCTGTGTTCTGAAGTTTTACAAATAATGTACAACTTAACTGTAATGACTGTACTTACATCAAAGGTATAACCACAAAAATTAGTAACCGACTTTGATTTACATATTCGAAGGGTTAAGCAGTTTTGGAGGAAAGGCCCTGGGGGTCCTGGTGGACACCGATTTGCCCATGTGCCAACAATCCACCCTTGTGGCAGAGAGTGACAATGGCACCCTGTGCTTCATTGGGAAAAGCACTGCCAGCACGTGGATGGAAGTGATCCTCTCCCTTCCAGTCACATCTGGAGTGCCATGTCCAGTTCTGGGCTTCTCAGCACAAGAGAGACGGACTGACATCCTGGAGACAGTCCAGCAAAGGGTCACAAAGATGACTAAAGAGAATGGAGCACCTCTCATACGAGAAGCAGCCAAGAAAGCTGGAACTGTTCAGCCTAGAGAAGAGAGCTCGGGGAGATCTTATATCAAGTATATAAACATATGAAGGAAGGGAGAGTATTAAAAGGACAGAGATAGGTTTTTTCTGTGATGCCCAGTGACAAGAACAAAGGCGGAAACACAGGAGGGTCCTGTCTGAACATCAGGAAACAGTTTTTACGTTGAGGGTGACCAAGCTCTGGGACAGATTGCCCAGAGAGGTTGTGGTGTCTGTCCCTGGAGAGATTCAAAACCTATTTTTTGAATTAGCAGTGACACTTTATCTCAAACTTCTTCAGTGCAGGAAATGAAACCATAAGAAGACTGCAGAGGAAAAGGGGGAGACACAAAGGACATAGTCCTGAGTGACTGGTTTTACATGACCTTCCTTGAGCAGAGGGGTTGGACCAGATCATCTGCTGAAGTCCTTTCCAAACTCAAGTATCCAGTGATTTTCAGCTCTAAAAAAGCCCAACAACACTGAGATACAAAAGGTATACTGTATTTATTCTGAAACAAACCTGCTCCCTCTGTTAATCTGAAATTATTAGGACTGTAGTTATATTACTGAAACATGACAGGAAACTGTAACAAGCATCATTAAAATTAAGAGGAACACAAAGTGAAAACAATTTGACTAGAGCTCCTGGAAATCATTCTGGGAAAAAAACAGTTTTAGAAAGTATTGTGCATTTTACATAAATATATCTGCTTCTCCTTGGAATCCTCCTCTACCTATCACGTTTCTCCTTTTTACCCAAATATAAGGCAGATGATTTATACAAATTGGCATGTAAAAACAGTGATGGAAAAGGTAATAAATGGTTTTTGAAACAAGATACCATTTTTCCCATTAAATCACTTAAAAGATTTGAAATATAAGCACTCAAGGATTTATTTTTAAGATCATGAAAACACATTTAATGTCAAATTATTAATTCTACTTTGTGTGTAGAATATCAAACATTGTACATACAATTACAATGGACAAATGCTTTCTTTATACTATGCCACCTGTAGAAGGGACCATATGGCAATGTAAGAAGATCTTATAAAAACTGTGTAGCACAACTATGAATGCCTTTAGTGTTAGCAAAATCTAAGGGTAATAATTTTCTTAAGAAAACTACAACAGAGGACTGCACACACACATACAAGAAGTTGCATAACTCTACATTCAGTTAGACACATTAACTGATGCTTAAATGTAAAAGCTTTGACACTTTCAAAAGTCAGTGTTAAACTCTGAAACCTCTTTCCACAGGACAGGACAACTATTGAAAGATTTATGCTAACTAAAAATCAAAGAACACCATTCCTTTAACTTAGTCTTCCTTTCATAAAATATTCTACTCCTCTCACCAGAAGTTTTTCTCCCATAACAACATTAATCAAATGGCTTCTCCCATGTTATGGGAAGCAAAGAAAATATGTAATTTATCTTTAAAATACACATTTGATCTTACTACAAGAAATAGTCTTGCAGGAATATGTGGAATATCCTGTTTGGCTATGCCTATACTACCACATTCAACACTGCCAAGGAAGGCGTCTCAGCACTCAAACTTGACTGTCTGCAACGTCAAACTGCTGGAACAGATTCCAGTATGGTTTTGGCCCACGCAAAGTAGCACTTTCCCAAACAATTCCTGGGCATGACTTGTGGTCAGAGCAAGCTACAGACCATTCAATATGAGCAGTTGTAACAAGCTACCTCGTTTAGGTTTAAAAGTTTAAAAATATGGATGTGAGAGGTTCTGTGCCAGCTGCTCTCTGTGCCAAATATTCGTAAGCCTGTATAATTTGTTAGCATAGACACAGACATCGTGTCTAAATCATGGAGCAAATGTACCTTGCACAGGATAGCTCTGTGGATCTACTGGATGGAGGGCAGTTCTGATCCCTCCTTCGTGTCCACAGGAAACATCAGTTCCGCAGGAACGGTACATACCTCAATACGCAGCAAGGATCTAGCCCAGATAAGGATACTGCAGCTCAGGCACTGGGGAGGGCTCCTGGTTCCCCCCAGTTTTGTACATCCATTAACAGACACAGGCATTTCTCAATCTACTTTTGGGTTAGAGAACAAGGCCATTGTTGGCACAGAAAGGATTCCTCAGCAGCATGAGGAAAGAATGCACAACAGGACAGCGACAGGCAAGGACAAACACTTTGCGCTTCTTAAATCCACACATGCAAACAAAACTGTCACTGCACCTCTGCTGACACATCCCCTGTGCCCTCTGAGACTCCTGCATAACTACAGTGTGTTTTCTAAGCTTTCAAACCAACAATCTATATGACCTTTATCATCTCTCTGGGTGCTTTGCAGCACTCCCTCATAAGAATGTAACACTTTGAGCTGTAACAGACCCAAACTTGTAGTGACACAACAGATGTGGAGAGGAGGAATGCAGGCATGCAAATACACAGGTTAGATCAAGTTAAGAAATTTATCATGGTGCTTAGCAAGGGTCTTAATCTCTTAATTACACAGTATTACCTATTAGGCATTCTCATAAACCTACTTAATTCCTACTTATTTATGTACTTACTAAACCAGGTTATCTCAGGTAGGTGGTAAGAGGGAGCAATGAACTGATACTATTCAGATACTGAACAATGGAATGTCTTACACTTTATAAGAAATTTAAGTTTCAATTTATAATAAGTTTCAAAATTATAATATTTTTGACAACATTTTGAAATAAACATTCAAACTGAGAAACAGTGATTACTGAAATTTTCAGAGTAGTTACAAAAAACCTGGTACAGTGACTGTCTAGAAGATCATGATAAGCTAGTTAAACATGAAAGCTTTGCTTCCAAACACCACAAAATTTGCCTTCCAACTAGCAGTTACTATGGCAAAGCTTAAGTAAAGCCTTGAGCCATTTCAGCTGAGGAGCTACCAAAGCCCCCGCAGCAGTCCCCAAAACTCAAAAACTGTCATGAAGTTTAAATGTTACAGCTACAGGTCTGAGGTGCTGTTTTTGATAAAATGAAATTTTATCAAAAAATGAGATATTAGTGCCAGCTCAGCTGGCCAGAGCATGGTACCAAGGTAGTGGGTTCGATCTCTGTATGGGCCATTCACTTCAGAGCTGGGCTCAATCCTTCACCTCAGTTTATCCTGTGATTACAATAATATGCCAGAAAAACTATAGCACCCATTGTACCTTTTGCTCTTCAGGAGAATACTAAAGGTTAGTATGTCTCTACCAATGGCAAATTTTGCTGGTTTTATGGCATCTTTTATAAAAATGGCTCTCTAATATAATAAAATGGAAATATCCTTACGCGTTCTTTATGCCAGCATGCTAAAACCAAGTTATACAGTGAATTCCTACTATAGCATTCAATTGAAGCAAAACTGCTTTTTCAGCAAAGCTAGTTTAGCACAGACACACTCTTCAACAACATAATAAAGTAACTAAATATTCATAAGTTATAAAATACAAGAACATACCTAACTAAACTTCGTAGTCATAACAGGCAATGTTTTACTGTGGTTAGTACTAGAACTTAAAATAGCAATTATGTATAATATTGTATACTAATATATACTACTAGCTGATCCCTGATGAGGAGAAACTGTAGGAGAGAATATGAACAGATTTCGTACCAGGACTTCTAGACCTCCTCCTCACTCAACATCCACATTATATTGCCAACAAAAATCTGATTATTACAAACAGATGTAATTTATGGGGTTTTTTTACACTATTTTCTCTACTCCATGGAAAAAAAAATAAATCTTAGAAAACACTTAACTCTTTGTCCAAACATACATGAGTGTTCAAATTAGAATCTAGGATGATTCCAGCTTTATTGTCAGTTACTACTCTTCCACAGGCCATGGTTTCCCTAAGTTTAGCCCCTATGTGTACACTTCAAAGCATGGAATTTGCAAGCAGACATTAAATATGTAAGATACAGGTTATCAGTGATTTCAACATCAAAGGTATCTTAGAAGATAAAAGCCTTGATTAAATGTTACATCAAAAAAATATCATCAGCAGTGCCTTACAAATTGTTTCATTTAACACAGTTACTATTCATAGCCAGGAAGCACACCCTATTATTCTGCACAAAAACACAACTTGAATGTTTTATGAATTATTTTATGAAATTAGTAAGTAACTTACATGCTGATCCTGTAGAATTAATTTTAAGTAAAGGGAATGTGTATTAATTACAGAAAATATAAATTAAAGCTTTGAATATAGGCTTTGCAAACTATATCAGAATTTACCTGAGAAGCAATAATATAAATAATAAAAAGCCATACACAGTGGTAGGCCATTGGTTCAAAGTAGTCTGACAGACAACACTACATTGTAACAGCTTTCAGAAACTACTAAAACCTTACAACACAATGCTTAGATGTTGTCCATTATTTTTAAAATTCTGGAAGAGCGTTCAGATAATAGTGACAAAGATTTCTAGAACTTCTTCCTTCGGTCCAGGGGAGACACAGAGGACACAGCATGTCCATGTACAACAATACAAATGCCCCAAGCTTACCTGCAGACTGAGCACTGTAAAGGGAAGGATCAACTAGAGGAATATTCTGAGCAGCAGGCTGAATGGTGTTACTTGTCACTCCTTCAAATCAATGCAGAAAAATGGACTTGGATTATTTTTACTTAATAGCTTTAAAAGTACGCAAAAACCCAGAACAGATACACCTTACGATTTCCAAATTAAGCAGCTGATAGCGTACTATTTCTGAAACTGTTTAACAAGCATTTTTAATGCTTTCACTTCAAATATGGATGTTTTAGAAAATAAAACAGAAGAATGTACAGACTGTCATACATTTTACCAGTACAGGATTTCACAGAAATTTAATTGCAGGCATTAAAAAAATAAGAAAATACTAGTGTAAGAGATACTGGTTACCCTGAAGCATTAAGGAAAACCTGCTAAAGAAAAGTGTGAGTAAACTTTTATATTTGAAACTTAAATTCTACATTCTAATACCAGAGGCAGTCTATATTATTGTACTTTTGAAGCCCAGTGTCAGTCTCTTCACACTTGCAAACTATCTCCTTCCCAATTTCTTTGAAAACAATTAGTGAGAATAAAAAAAACTAGCTAAGTTTAAAAGGGAAATAATGGTGCCAGAAGAAGAAACAGCACCATATGCTGTACCTGCATTCCCATTTTAGGTACACCCATTTGCTTTGATCCAAAACTGTATTTTTGCAGTATGTCCTGAACATAGCATGAAGTTGTTTCTATAACATCTGCTGTCTAGGAAGAGGGTATAACCACTTTTCTAAGTTACATCACCCCATTGAAAGATTGGTGGGGTTAAAACTATGTAATGCACAGAATTAATGTATTCCAACAAGGTATGTACTCTGTGATTTTCAGATCTGGTAAAAAAAAAAACAACATATGCTCCCTCCCAGACCCAAAAAAACCCCACCTATCTGAAGGATTTCCCTTTGATAAAGTTGAAAAAAAGAGCATCCTGAACTCTTCATAGGGTGAAGCATTTTTTAAATGAGAAAGTAAAAGAAAAGGAAGGATTGTGTGACAAAAATATCTTGTATGTTCGATAATATAAAAATGTATCTGAACAATAAATGATCACCAGGATTGAAATAAAGAGATTTTAATTTTTTTAGTCTTATTTATCATTAATTAATAATTCTACTCTATGATTGTTATAAAAAGGCCTCATAAGGTAAAAAAGTTGCATTCACCAATCACTTAATACTTTTATTTATTTATTTATTTATTTTTTAAATAAATACAGCATCTGGGAATGAACTTCGAATTTTGATGTTGGTCCAAAAATTACATGTAATAAGAAGGATGTAGGAGCCAATATATCTAGCCATAGGGACAAAATTTTCATTAATAATATTGTCCGAAGTCAATGACACTAAAGCACTTGCATGGAAAAGGGGCACAAGCCAAACCAAACCAGTATGAACGGTACATCAGGCATGACTGCTACAAGGCCATAACAATTTCAACAATGTGCTGGATAAGCTTCCACATGAAGAACAGCAGCCTATCTGCACAGGCTACATATGAACTGAAGTAATATCATTCCATCTATAAAGTAAAATATTCAAATTGTGCTTTACAGTACAGATGTTGCAATTCAACATCATTTTACTGATTCAAGAGAAGACATAAATTCTGTCTGCAGGAACAGTCACTTTCTTAGTCCATACATGTCCTCTCTAAAAGTGCTCCCAACTATCATTTCCATATTTTAAAAAAATAGTAAAAAATATTTCCAGTGGCATTTTTACAATTTTAGCTTATGAAGATGCTTTTACCACACAATCCTGTGTTATTCTACTTCATATGTGATGGACTAGAATTTGGGCAAAAATTCTTTCCCCAGTAAAGGCATGATTTCTCAGATGTGATTTGGACATACCTGTGTTATGAGGTACTTCAGCTGGAGTGTTGGCTGGTGCATGGGCACCTGGTGGTATATGTATGCCAGTGTAATTACTAGTTGGTATGTTGTTAGCTTCATATGTAGATGATGATGATGGAGTTGCTCCACTATGGGCAGAAGATGACCCCGCTTCTTCCCTTTCAGCATCTGCTAAAATGACACAAAATAGGAATTACTGCAACTATTATGTATAAACACTTGAATACTTTGGCTTTTCTTAAAACCTCCTTTCAAATTTTTATTGCCAAAAAAATTGTGACCACAGTGTGTGACATAAAAAAATCAACCCAAACCACATAGGGTTGATTTAAAAAGGTAAAATGCAATATACCATACAATAAAGATCTAGAAACTCACATATTTCCAAAGATCTCTTCTGTTCAACTTGAAGAATCATTTCCTTACTTGTCTGAATATAAGCTGTCTCATTAGAACAATTTGTTATACCTTCATATTCTGCATCCATAGAAGTTGAACAAGTTACTACAAATAGGCATTACAAATCTACATTTTAACGTATACATGAACTAGAATATGGAAAATTATATTTGTCTTACAAACTCTTCATAAAAGGCTAGACAGTGCCAATTATTTTATCCCAAATCAAACCACAGATAAATAGGAATGAAGAGGAGCTTTGAGAAAGTAATACCAAACAAGAAATTAATGCAGCTTAGCCAAGTCATATTTGCATCTAGAACAGCTAGAATACATAATGAGCTATAAGAACAATGAGGTACAATATATCCCACAGCATGTACAAAGAACATACACATTTTTTAATCTAGTCATATTCTTAAGTTTCTGGTCTACTTTATTTAATATTACTCTAAAGGCTAAGGATCCAGTCAATTCAGAATGTATGGTTGATTCCTGCTCTTTCATTTGAATTCAGTTCAGTTTAAAACAACTAATTTTCATTTACTGTGTATGTGTTCACCTGTATCCATGGTGTCAGATCGAACAAGCACAGTTTTGGGAATTACTTATTTAACAGCCAGTGCTTGAAAGCAAACAGTAAAATACGGGTGGATAAAACTTGTATGTGTGTAGAGCTGGCAAAAGAGATATTTTTTAAGAAATCCACATTCACCTTCAACATCATAAGACTATGTGTTCTGCAAACACTTCCACTGCTTCCATAATTAAATGGTCGACTATTAAAAATATTACTATTATAAATATCAGAATTGTTTCCCATGTAAGTCCCTCTTCCTCCCAGAAAAAAATTCACATCCTACCTTTATGAAAAATGCCTAAATTTCTAATTTGCAATACAATTTACTTAAAAAAAAGCTATAAAGCAGAGTAATATCAAGTATAGTTATTAGGGCATTTTTAGTGGACTGTAATAAATACACTCCGGTTTCATGGCACAATTTCTGACACATGTAGATGAAAACCTGACAGGTTTCTGGAAGACAAAGAATATTTTAAGGTGCCAGATTTTTCTTTTGCTGTATTTTTTGTTAGTAACTCATACTGCAATATTGCATGGCTAAAATGGATGGTAATAAAATTAATGTCTGAAAACTGGCAAAAAGAAGGTGAGATGCAAGAATAAATGTGGCATAACTTTTAAGTAACATGGTAATGATAGGAAACCATTGTTTGAATGCTGTCTATTCCACTGATTTTGTTGTTAACTAAAAAAAAAAATATTATAAAAGTTTCAGAAAATAAAATGAACAAAAATAGAGGCTTACTATACATAAAATGAACAAAATAGTTACACGCAACACTCATCATGCAGTCTGAAGGTGAGGCTACTGAATATTACTTGGAGCACCGTTACCAATAATTTACAGCTTGGTCAAATTGTAGCCATAAAGTTGGATTATCCAAACTGGGGTCTGCTTGAAATTAGGATTTTGGGAAAGTTGTTGTAAAAATTACTAAGCAACTTTTGAGAATGAGGCACTGAAAACATGCTTCCACTGTGCTTAGTATCTCAGTTATGAGAAATTACCTGTATACTCATGCCCATATTTAATCTGTTAATGCATTTATTCCTTTATTCTGCCCCTTGCACCTTCCTGTTGCCCTAAACTGGATCTCAAGGCACATTCTGATTTCCTTCTCTGCACTAGGATTACAACCTCACATACTTGTATCTCTCTGGCACTGCTCCCATTTTCTCCCCAAGCCATTCCCAGTTTCAGCTTCCAACTTCCTCACTGCATAGCTCAGGGTCTCTACTCCTGTAACAATGCAATGCTGTGGGCAACACTGGCCACAGAAGACATGAACTCAAAGGGTTAAAGTCTGGCAATGATAAAAACAACCAAAAAAAGTGTTAGAAGTGCTCACCACCCATAGTAACAGTGCCTGCAAGAGGCAAATTCACAAATAGGCAATCTGCTTTTTAATCAGGTGTACGTATCAAAAGATTAAGCTCTTTTCTGAGCTTGCTTTGATTTGCTCATTGTGCAATTGGCCAATGTTAAAATTGTATTAAACATGAAAGTAATTTTGTTTAAGTTAACTCTTAGGTTTTTAAAGTGCCCAAATATAAAAGCATTGTAACTATTCTTCCTGCAAAGCAAATATTTAAAATATTCTTTATCCAAGACTAAAGTATTAGAAAAATTTTAAGATACCCACTCTCAATATTTGTGAATAGTTTTTAACAGTAGTGCCAGATAAAAGGATTTCAGGTTGCTATAAAAGAACATTTAAGTCAACAGAGGTTTTAAATTCTATGGTTAGAATGTCCGTAAGTAAAAAAAAAAAAATCTTTCCCAGGGAATAGGAAAGAATTCTAGAAAATTATTTTCTCATTCTGCAGCAATAACCTAGAATTCAAAGTTCCTTACAATTTGCTAAAAGATGCTGAAGCTAGGCTGTGAAACAATGACACAATTGTTTTACACTTAATTTCAGCTCCAGCTGAAATTGTTTTACATTTCATTTCAGCTCTTGTCTTGGAACCACACCAGCTTTTGTGCTTGAATCCCAGCATAATGAATTCACAAGATCTTTAAATTTTATGCAGAGCTACAGTATACCCAGACAACCTGCTTGTGTTTTTTAAAAATTATTTATTTACTGAAGGCAAGCCTTTGTGAAATAATCACCCCAGCCCCATAACCAACCATCCAAAGACACTTTTATATAAACAGAGGATTCTCAAGGCTTAATGGTATTCCCTTTCCTAATGCAAGCAAGCATCGATCATGACTTAATTTCAGCAGCTCAGTCCACCAAATATGAAATTAGCAATGTTTTTTACGGAGTTCAGACTCCTCCAGTTCTCTGGAATCCTATTTTTAACGAGTTCAGAGAATTATAATTTATCAATTTAATTTTTTGTCCTTTGTCTCATTCTGCTGTGCTGTTTCTCTTTTGCTTGAGATGTTGCTAAAAGATCCACAATGTAAGGTTCTATTCGAACACTACTTTTAAAAAACAAATGATCATTTATTTTTTTCCACTCCATTGAGAAATTAATTCAAAAATCCATCAACTTTTCCCACACTGTTCTTTTTACTAGTTGGAACTATTAAGGTTTTCTGAAATTCTGTAATAGAAATGTAGCCTACATATTATATATTGCAATGAACATGATTACATTTAATGTATTTACTATGGCTATTCAGGAACTTCTTTCTTATTTTCATTTTTTTTCCATTAGTGTAAAATCTTCTTGGATGATCTAGGGCTAATGCTAAGTAACCTTTATGTGTACTCTAGGACTTGTATTCCAACTGCATTAATAAATTAAGCATGTAATTTTAAGGTTTCCATGGTGGCATCCTGACAAAAGCATCCATAAATCCAACAGTAGAACTGCATAAAGCATGCCTATGTTACTGTAAAAACATCTCCAAGAGTTACAGTATGGTTTTCAAGAATCACAAAAAAAATAGCACTTTGGAAAAAAATGGTAATTTGTCAAGCTACAGAGACCTAGTTTCACTCTGTTTAAACAGACTTTTTCCACATGCTAGGGAAGGAAGAAAATGAGCAAGCAGAAAGGAATGGGGAAGGTCCAGTCGTACATTCAAACAATACTGCTTTTCTTCTTATGATGCACAAAGAGGAACTGAAACTCTTTTGTACTGATTCTTCTCATAAAAATTAATTTGCATAAAATTTTTGTCTTGATTATGTGAAACATTATGGACACCTACATTATGGAGTTAACTGTAAAAAATACCGTCAGCATAAAAAAACATCAACATGTATTTTTCATTTTAATTTCTCAGAAAATTAGGAGTGCGAGAAATAATCTCTCTACATGAAATACAATTCAACAACAGAATAAACAAACAAGAAACACTGCCAAGCTATAGCTCTTGCAGGCTCCCTATTAAAAGGGATATTAAAATTTTGATTCACTCAGCATTGTGTCCCTTTTAAGCTGTATGTAGACATAACCTGGTAATGAAAGCAAAAGTCTTCACCAATTCCCATTACCACCTGTAATGAACTGCAACGAATACCACGGATTTGAGGAAAGCCTCAATTCTGCTTTCCTTCCTACAACAGTTTCTTTTGTAGTCTTGAGCAAGTTAGTTACCTCTGTGCATTAATAAAATGAAGAAAGAGCCTATTTGTTGCTTTTGAGAAATAATTAGCTTCTCAAAGTTGCACACATGGATTTTTAGCAAAAGCTTTGTAATGTTTATTTAGAAATTCTATTTTTGCAGTTGTTTAAAATTCATAGTTCGCTTCACATACTCAGGTCAGCTTTACCACACTACGAGCCAGACCACTAAAAGAGCACTCATTTAAAGCTGAAAATATTTAACTGAGCTATTCATTGCATTCAATGTAACAGGAGATTTTTCTATCATGTTACATTCTCTATTAAATCCCCATTCTGTTGTAATTTGACAAAGATGAGGTGATGTCTGCAGTTGGAGTTGCATCGTAAGAATCTCTTGCTACAGTTACATGGACAGTTAAGAAAACTGCCTTGGAAAAGACTGTATGTTGAAGAAGAAATTGGTATGCTAATGCTTCGCTTCAAATAGAGCTGTGCCTAGACTGGAGCACATTTCAGCAGTTAAGATACCCATTCCAGTGTTGAAGTCTGTAGGGTGCCTTTAGGATATGAAGACATAATAACAAGAATAAATATGTAGCTTGGAAACAGAACTATCATACTCTGTGTTTGTTCACAAATATTTAAATTTACTTATGTTGCAGTGTTTCTGTACTAATATAGACTACTAATATATAAACAGTGTTTTATTCAGGAAACTGCAAATAAATTATATTTGGCACCAAAGCTCTTAGACACGATAAAGATAATAAACTGAAATAGAGGTTCGGTACACATACTTAAAAAAAAAAAAAATCATGATAGTATCCTTTCTTTTTTTTAATATAACTGTCTAGGACTTATAAATTACAATGTGGAGATGCATCAAAATGTGAGACTGCATGATGAAAAGATTGAGAGCCAGAAGAGAAACTAGTTTTCTAATGTTTTGACATGTTTAAAACAAAAGTAATGAGTAGAAAATTACAAACCTGTTTGTAACTTATTAGAAGTAAATTACAAGCTCAGACTTCAAAGTCCACTCAGGTATAGACCCCAAACACAAATGAATGCAAACAAATAATTACTTTTATGTGTATATACATTTGTATTCCATATGCATGCACTATAAATACACTGGTCATCTATATTAATATATACGTTCACAAAACTTTATGTAGCCCAAGAAGGTGGCTCTGCAGGTTAAATACAATACTCAACAAGTTGATCTTTTCCTTTTGCACTGTAGATTTGCTTATTGACCCTTTTTATTTGGAGAAATTTGTATTACTAAATCCAAGCTTGAGATAACTAACCCTAACAAGCCATGAAGTCTCACATGAAAGCTCAGAAGAAAGTTACAAATTATTTGATGGTCTCAGTCATTCCACTAGGTATGTGAAGAATGATACACAGAGGTTGCCACTGTGCAGAATTAGTCTGTTTTAATCAGCATAGTGAAAATACACATTCCAATGACATCCTATTTCACAAGAGATCAACCTCTGAAATTTGAATTCAATCTGCATTGAGGAGAAAAGCAAAGAAACTGCTCACTATCAAGACCAATGAAACTGATCACTATCTAAAGCAGAACAACTTGTTCTGATACACATTCAGTTTGGTTAAGTGCATGTCCTTGGAAATCACCTCCTTAACTGTTACATAAAGTGGGAACCTCAAGGAATCCTGTACAAGGAGCTCAGGTAGCCAGAGGGAGCAACTGAAAACACAAGGAAAAGAAGGATGAGTGAGAAAGAGGCAGAAAATCCAATTCAGTAGGAGTAGGCCATCAACCTGTTTTGAAACTGATGTTATTACACAGGAAAAAGGAGTTGTCTCACAAGCAGGTCTCTGCTTTGAAGCCGAATTCACTTGCAATCAGTCCATTTTTAACTCCTGCTTAACTTCTGAGAGTGGATAAACTGGCAAAGGGATCATAAATTTACAAAATAGATTTAAAATAAGGATATGGTTAGGGTTAAAGAAATGTATGGCTCTGGCCCAAAGCTGAAAATGCCTTCTTAGAGAGTAGCTGTATTCAAAATAATAATCTCCACTACGAAGAAAAGAATATTTTATTAAATAAGTCAATCACACAGTAAGGTCCAATAAAAATAACAGCAGGAGAAGCTAAAATGAAGTAGAAGGCAGCCCACTGTGAATGGAACATCAAGTGGGTAAGCTGTACTTCCTGAGGGGTGCTCCCTGAAGAATGGTGCATACCACCAATTCACCTTGGCACATCCTTCTGCTCTCTTAAAAAGAAAAGGGGAAACACGTACCAAAACTCTCTCCTTCCATTCCAATGGGGCCAGGCTGAGGAGTCTCTCCATTCTTTAAGCAGTTATGAATGTATGCTGCCTTCCACCTGGCGTACTTCCTGTGCTGGGCGTTCTGGGGGAGGGAAAAGGCCAGCCATTTTAACCACTCACTTCTGCAAATTAATGCATTCAAAACAGAAATATAAACATCTTTTCCACCTTCTCTGCTGTCATTTGACACCCTTTTAAAGATAAACAACATGTATAAAATTAACAGGTGAATTAAAAAAAAAAAATTAAAATAACAGCTCTAACAAGATCTCAGCATGAAAGGAAAATGTGGAGCTCTTCAATTAGCACAGCGTATCAGGAAAAGGAAATAAATTATACCAAGAACATCTAGTATGAAAGGCACAGCACTGTCTAGTAATTATTGACATGAAATAAAGAAGAAAGCTTCCTATAAATTTAGATGATTATTTACTTTAGATTTAAATATTTGAAACTTAAAATGCTACTATGCTGCTGATCAGAAATATGAAATCTTTTCTCATTATATTATTTTATAATTTTAAATTGTATTTAAAAGCATGAATACGGAAAGGCTGATGTAACTGCAGATTAATGTGACTTGTTTGTAATATTCTATGACATTAAGATTTTCCATTTTGTTTTTCAAAATATACTTTACTGTTCCTAGGTACAACTTTAAACATGTCAAAACATGGAAAGGAAGATTGGCCACTTTGTATCTCCTGGGACTATTACAATAGTGTTTAATCCAGAAAGAACTGTCAATTGATGCAAGAAATATTAAACTGATTATGCAAATCAACTACTTGTCAAAGGTTGTATGGACAACAACCAGTTCTGACAGTTATGAGGTAATATAAATCAAGGAACAAGGCTGAATATAAACAGATGAGAAATGTGGAAGGATGAGTGGAATAATTTGCCCAAATGAACAATGCAAATTGGGATAGCATGCTTCACACCAACACCAACATTTTAAAAATTAATTAAAAAAATTATTTGGAAATTAAATCCAAAGTTTCTAAGGAATTAATAAACTGAAATTCAATACTGTACTTCACAAAGCCTATTGCACAACACAACACAAAAGGTATCTCTAGCAAGATCCCTTGCTCATATTTAATACATTGTATCACCCAGGATGCTCAGGAAATCCAGGAGAAAGATCTAGTCTTCATTTTTGAAAACAAGATATTCTCCAGAAAAAAAGCCTATTCTGATGACATATTCATTAAAACACATTCACTCTACCTGAAAAAGGAAAAGTGCAGTTGGAAAATATGGCTTTCTGTTAAACTTCGTTCTAATAATCACTTCTGGTCAGTCAGTGTTACAAATTAAATTCTTTCATTTTTAACAAACACTCTAGAAGCCACAAAATACAGAAAACACATACCCAGAGTATTCTACTTTTAGGAAAGATTATTATGCAATATTTAAGAGCCTGTACATCTCCCCTCCATTCTAACATGGCGATTATTTACTGGAAAAGTGTGGAGATGTTGTTGTAGCAGGTATTGCCAGGAACTGGCAACTCAGCATGGCAGGAGTGGTGAGGAGAGGCCAGGGCTGCCCCACACTGGATAAAACCAGCTCCAGTGCTCCCACCTTGGGACACAGTTGAGGCCCTCGGACAGCTGGTGGTGCCCTTGGGAGAGCTTATTTGAGGGAGGGCCAAGCACCTCCAACCCCCACACCCAAGATGCTGGAGGGAGAGAGGAGAAGGCAACAAAGTGTTTGATGTCTGTCCTGCATCCTGACTGCAAAGCTTATCATTCCAGAACTCAGAAGTGAAATGCTGTTTGTTTTGGTTTGTTTGCAGTGCTGCCCCTTTTCAGAAGGCTGCCCTGTTGAATGAATGCTACTACATGAAAAGTAAATTAAAAGAATGCTGCTGTCACAGAGCTTCCTACTGCTCTGATCTAAGCTGTGTCTTGTAAAACACATCTTCCAGAAAATCCTTCTGCCTAGTTCTTGCATGGAGATATAGAACAACCACTCTTCATCTGTGACACAATCCATTCATACCAACCAATAATCAATCACTCACCATTTAAAAACATACATATGCTAAACACCCATTTTCTGATTCTCAGTGTCAAATATCTGCATTCTATGCCTTCTACTGTTGATTTAAAAGCCTTTCAATAGTTGATAGTCCATATATATGAATTTCAATTATCTACTGAGAAAATAGGCAGATGTCATCCTCTGAGTGTATTTCTGAGTCTGAGTGGCTGACATAAACTTCTGCAAAAGTCTAAGACAGTCAAGTCATACTTCTCCCATCATCCCTTTACATGAGAATGAATAAGGAAACTGTTGAAATATAATGATGCTATACAGAAGAGCAAATATTTTCTGTATTTCTTGTACACCCTCTTTTACTGTCGGTGTTCATCAATCAAACAAAATGAGAGAATTCTGCTTTTTTCCAATTACAAAGCATTTCTGTCCTTGCAGCATCAACAATAAAAACCCCCAGCACAAAGTAGAAAATGTACCACTGCTAGCATTCTGCACTGACATTTGTAACAACTTCTTCCATCTTCAAAGCAGGATTGCTTCAGGTATTCTGAGGACTCAATTGTCAGTGCACTGTCCTGTGCACAGGATTCCTACAGATTAAGATTGTTTTTTTCAGTCCAATGTGCAAATGTGCATTCACTCTCTGGCTCTAGGAAATATTACTACTGGATCTAGGAAAGGATGTCAGGGTGCAGAGCAGACAGTTTTAGGAGGACACATCAAAGAGCAAACTTACTTGTGCCTCTCTATAAGATGGAAATTTTGGATTGGTAGTCTCAGGCTACAGAAGACAGAGAATCTTGAAAGAACTCTTCACCAAGCATTTTTCTTGGGTAAGACCTATCTTTAGTATCTACACTTACATCCTATAGTATTCAAGAAGTGCACCACTATCAAAACCATGCTTTTACCTTCTTTCTAATGTTTACAAATGAAAGTAGCCACAACAACTACATTTGAAACTGATCAAGTATGACTGCACTTTAGGCACACTTAACAGATTAGGGGATTTACAAACAGGTTGTCAAGCCTGTGAATTTCAAGCAGGACATGGAAAAAAATGAAGGTGTCCCAAGCTAGGAACCTTGCATAATTTTTCCCCTGTAAGCACTCCCACTTGCTCAATATAACGCTATGTATCCCACAGTACAAATCAAAATTTGAATTTCTAAATGGTACTTGTCATGAAGCATCTTCTAACAGATGTCTAGTATTTCATCTACAATTTATCTAAAATACTTAGCATGATTCTTTATGGTTTACTAACAAGTATTTGGCTACACTACTAGAACCTATGTTCTTTGAAATTCATATTCACGACTTACAATAGCAACGTCTGTGCTTGGAAAAGCAATCAGAAAATACACTCATATGCCTAACACTTACCTCTTCAGAGAGCTCCCCAAATACCGTTAGAACATCTATCAGGAGACTTGCAGTATAAAAGGACTTTATCATGTTTCTGCAAAAAAGAAAGCATTTTGCTAACCTGGTAACGTCAGTCTCTCAGAATCACATTTTAGGACTTGTAATCTTACACCATACTGGCTTTTTTCAAGCCAAACATTGGAGTTTTTTTTTCTTTTAATCTGATGTTACAGAAGCTGCTTCACAACATTTAAATCCAGCAATATTTATTAGTCTCCTACCTACTATTCAGAAAATGTTCAGTATTTTTTAGAACTAGTTATGTGTTTTACACTTAGTTTCTAATTTGGACTGTTTTGTGTAGGACATCAGAAATCCTGAGTTAACTTAGAAAAACACATGAAGATGCCATAGTAATTGCTGTAAACCAAACCACATAATGGATCATCACAACTATTTTACTATCACTGGTCAATAGAAACTATAACATGCTTGATAAAATAAAGCACAGTAGTGCTTTATTTAGCCTGTGGTTTTAGAAGGCTTGCCAGTAGGTTAAGCAACTCCCTAAGGAACACAAGGAGGAGGATACCAGTTAATGTGTGAAGTGAAACCTAAAAGTAGTAGCAAATTGAGTTTTTCAGAAGAGAAAAGAATGTATTAAAGCCCAATTCTTGTTTCCAGTGAAATTAAAGAGCATTTAGATATTCACATTCCCTGACCAGTATCTTAATTCAGATAAGAAAAACAAAGATTTGCACCTACTTATGAAATTGCCCAGCTCTGTCTTCATTATCTGCATACAAAAACATTTTCAAGGCGTAATTCTCCACATGAGCAGAACCAACAATTTCCTGAGTAATTGCTTCATTATCACCAAATTGCTTTTTCATCTGAAAAATATAGGAAAAATACATTAATTACTTTATTAGACCTTAGCAATTCTGCAAACACAAAAAGAACCTGCTGATTAAAACAAAGTCAAGTACAATTTAAAAAGAAACAACTTAAGCTACATTTTACAAATCTGCAGCTTCTAACATAACAAATGCTAAAAGCAGCAGGTGAAAGAAAGCACATTCATCTGGAGAGAAACACTATGAATAAGTAGCTCTGAATCTTTGGTCACAAAATGCTTATAAAAACCACCAACACAGCAACATCCTCTCCCCCAAAGTTAAACACAACTACAGTGCTGTGAAAGAACAGCAACAGATATTTTTCCCCTTAGAATCTGAAAGACCTGGCACCTTGAAGCCTGTGTCAGGATTCAACACAGTTCAGCTGGTGAAATAATGCATGCTTTATAAAGGTGCTGTAGATTAGAGGGATCGATCATGTATCTTCCCTCTTGTAAGGTTATTTCACTACAGTTCATTATATCTTTCCAAGTATTTGAGCCCTACCTTGACCGGTCTAGTGACCTATGGATTTACTGGAATTTTCAGTGTAAGCAGCGTATTTCAATTCAAAGAACTCTTTTCAAAGATGTTAGAGTGCAAGAATCCTCAGGTTTCCTAATAAAAATCAGTAAAGCAAACAACCCCGTAACAGTTACAACAGGTGGATTTACAGCTTCTGAATAGGCTTACTGTTTGCACATAAAGAAATCTCAGGTTATCCTTGGAGAACAAAAACAGGAACACTGCATGATACTAACCTGCAGCCTTTATTTTGCCAAAAGATTTAAAAACAATCTCTGAATGGCAGTTATTTTTCACTGTGCGTGCGAAGAAAATTTAATCATGCAGGCAGCATTTCCATATTTTTTATATTGCTGCCAACTTTCTAAGACATAGAATGCTGCCAGAAAAGTTACTGGATTTCAGTAGTTAAATATAAGCTTTCCAAATAGAATTTTAAATTCGAAGTTTAAACCTAAGTTTTTTCTATATGTGGTTTTCAAAAAGTAATTGTTTTATGGAGTGTAATTTTCTTGTGAAAATACCAAAATTAGCGTGTTCAAACGAAACAGTCAAACACTGAAGCTAACTCAGAAAACTGTTTGTATACATATATTTCCTTAACCAATCTGCACACCTCACACTCAGAGAAGTGATTACTGTACTTGATTTGATTCTCAATTATTTCAAACACACAACTAACACTGTTACATACACTTCTAAAAGTATTAAAGGTAACCAGGTAGTTTACTGCTGAAATTATCCTTTACACCATTTTACACTATCTGTGATTCATTACAGCAGTATTGGTGTTTCAAACGTTAATACAAAATCTCAACCTAAACCTCAAGGCATTTAGGTTTAATCTTAAAAAAATTAAACCGCACCCCTCTGCGCCCCCTGGTGGTTACGGGCAGACTGGAAACAGCAACTCCTAAATTACAGCAGGGGTCCAACTTTTCCATAAACCCAAACTTCTAAGTCCCAAAACTGCTCTATTAGACTTGACTAGGAGCGCTCTCTTCATCCTTCCACCACCCGGATACATAGAAGAATCTTCAGTATTGTGCATCAGTTGTCACACAGACAGTCTTACCACTAACCAATAGGTGAAAACTATGGATTTTTGCTGCTTTTTTAGTCTTTTCAATTTTGAAACAGAAGGGGTAGCTGAACACTGCAGATGAACTGCTGCAGTACCACAAGTAATTCAGCAAAATCCAACAATTCTTAGGAAATGAAGAGCAAAATCCTTTCATGTTTTAATCTCACCTCTCCTGACATCTCTTTGTCCCTTTTAACACAAACCCAGTCCTATTAAAGGTCAAACTCCAATGAAATAACACACCAAGAAACCACTGTACACTGAATTTTCCATTGCAAAAAATCAGTGATAAAAAAAGCAAGAAGCACAAGTTATGAAAAAAAAAAGACAAATGGTTCATGTTTCATTTATTTTCTGAAGAATCACAGAATGGTTTGCATTGGAAATGACCTTAATTGTCATCTAGTTCCAACTCCCCTGCTGTGAGCAGGGATGATGTTCACTAGAAGAGGTTCAGGACCTATGCAATCTGGCCTTGAATACTTCTGTGGGTGAGCCATCCATCTTTCAAAACTGAAAGCTGCTGTACTAGTTTCACACAAACTCTTCAGGCATTGCTAGACTTTGGATGGAATTACCAATACTGAACAAGAAAAGAATTGCTGATTCATCTTTCAACATCGCTTTCTGCTTCCAAATGAGCACTTAGACCTTAGAATCAATAAACTTCTTCCTTTGAGAATTTTGAACAGCTCCTGGAACTTAAACTCACCATCTGTACCACAACTTTACCTTTCTTAGTTTAACTCTCTTCTATTTAAAGCTTTTTAACAGTATCAGGTCCTTTCAGACCAGCGTGGCATAGCTATCCCTTATCCACAGAGATTAGGCTGTGCTTCCAAGAGTTTATAAAATAAAATCTCCAATCTTAAAGACAGGATACAATCAAAAGTATCTTTATTTTTTACAGAACATTTTAAATAACTCCCTGGATACAACAATTTAGGTTAGAGATTTCAAAAGCATCCAAGGACTAGGCTACTAAGTCCTACAGCAGTAAAAATAACTGTACAGACTTCAAGGAATCAAAGGCAAATCCATTAAAAGTCTTCTGGAACACCCATGTTAACTTCATAATGAGTTATGATTTGTCATGAGAACATGCATAAATAAAACCTTGTAATTTATGCTATCTACATACAATCTTATTTCTAAATTTCAATTATGTTTGTGCATGCATACATACATACAGCTTTATCTCCTTCCAATCCTTCTGCAATTTATTACATACAACTGAAGTTCATACAGTATGCTTGCATGCAGAACAGCTGCAGAGAAAAGACAGTATTTCCAGAAATTTAAATAAAAATTAAATTAATATCATCATTTTTGAGGAAAGCAATAATTTCTACTTACAGCTTCCAACTGATCCATAAGTTTGGATAAAAATTTACGGCATTCTGGGGTTTTACTATCAATCTTCATCCCTGTCTGCATTGCATACAAACGACCTTGAAATGATACAAAACATACAAAAACCACTAAGTGATAACCTAAGGCAAAACCCATAAGCAAAGCAAAGCCCCCCAACACACCTGAAAGACAACTCATGATTTAACCACAGACTGACTCCAGTACTACTGAGCAGTGACAACAAAATGTAAGATTTGGTCTTGCAGAGATACTAGGAGTTATTTTTGGGAGATTTATGTTTTATTTTTCCCCCATGACTATTCCTTTTAATTTTAAACTGATGTTTGTATCACTATTAGGCAATATCAAGTGCTTTTATAAACTACCACCACCCACACTTGCAACTCACCCAAACAGGAACTTCAAATCCATTTGGAAGAGTGCATGGATATAAATGGAACTGCATGTGGCAGTTAAAACACTTGAACAAATGGGATTAAGCACCTACTATCTCCATGTACAGGCATACACAGCATCAAAATACTCAAGACAAAAACTTTTATCTTTAAATCAGACAAGCCAGACTTTATCAAATTTGCCCTGCGAGCAGAGTTGCCAGTTTTTAACAAGATCTTGAAAATTAATGATTAGCATCTTCTTATTAAAGATTAACCTTTTACTACCAAAAATCTGTGAGTTTTAGATTTGCATATGGCAGAACTTTATAGGCTTCATGAAACTGTGGACAAACCCAAGCAAGTATTATTTACTAGGATTAACACACACCAAGAAGGGAAAATAGACAGAAACATTCAGTAATCAAATGTAGAACATTTTCCACAAAAAAAACATTCCTCTAACTCTCACTTCTGACTCCTTCTCAAGGGAGTCCTACAAAACACTTTCAAATGCAGAGTTTAAGAATCAAAAGGTCTAACTCCACCAAATATTATCATGGGGTAGTTACTATGGAATAAATCATCTCCTTCTTCTTGCAGGACAGAGTTCTACAAGCAGTCCCAATGTTCTTCACAGCTTTAGCTTGTTCCTCCCAAGCATCTCTTCATACACTAGAGACTTTTCCCTTCAAATTACCTCATTAAACATGAATATAACACAACTGTTATCACACACTTATCCTAATGCTTGATGTAGAAGAAAACACTATATATGCTCAAAAGCTTCTCTGCATTTTCCATCTATTAGCAATTTATCTAATAAAATTAAATATCTTTCTACAAAACTTTGATTCTGCTGGTGAGTACCACAATTTAACCAATTTTTTCTGGATTTTTAAAGCAGTATTTCCTATTTCATATACAACTGAGTGTACCAGACTAAGCATACATTCCTTATTTGGGACTGCAAAGCTCACTTACTTTTGAATGTTAAAGATGTTGGGTTGACCAACCATTTAAAAACACTCTCCCTGAAAATTAAAATACTTCTGCTCTCCAATGCCTCTGTTTTTACAATGTATAAAAGGATCTAGAATCTTCGTATTCAAGTTTTAAGTAAAGAACAACCAAGTGAAAGTCCTTAACAAAACTACAGGAATTAATAAAGACAAAGAACAACTACAATACTTGACCAATACAAATGAAAGAATTGCTACGTAGGTTTCATCAAATGACATTACTATTAAGCTGATTACGGATAGGTACTCTTATGCCCACCTAATTTAACTTCAGGATGCTGACACGTTAATGTTAAACATTACAAAACTAGTACATGTAAAGTTGAAATTAGATTTCAAAGAAATTCAAACACAGAAACGTACAAAAAATTGTATCTAAGGCATTAAAATTAATATGAAAAGCAACCATCAATTAAAATTGTTGTAACTGTTACTCTTGTGTTACCTGTTAAGAGGATTTTTTCATTCTCATTGCAAATACATCCATTTACATCATGACAGCCAGATAATTTTTTTCTTCACTAATATTCAAAGGGATGTATTCACAGGACTGAGACATTTGTATGCTTTGTATAAAGCCCTAAAAAACCAGCCCTTTCCCCTCTTAGGATTTCAGAGCCTTAGGAAGACTTTAAGACTCCTTCAGGCATTCCAGTGGACAAATGCAGATTAACTCTTGAACATACAGAAATCACATCAGAGAACAACAGTTACAGAAACAAAATGTTTTTCTTGTCTATATATAACTTTACACTGTGGGTGACATCGAGCAATCTTCCACATGAACACCTTCCTTCTAACAAAAGGTTCATAGGACCAAAGTAGCCAAGGTTCCTAGGTTGTTAAAAATCAAAGTATTATTATTCAAAGCACAGAGTGTCTAGAAAGCGTGAAGGTGCTCTTGCAGCAGCAGCAGCTCTAAAATACTAGGAACTGGGACATCCTAGAGACAAACTATTAATGTCACCTGAGATAAGAATAAATGTGTTCCACCTGTTGCAGCAATTATATCTCTGTACCACAAAACTGACCAGTTACTACATGCAGCCACCAAGTCCCAATTTGCATCACTGCCCATAGAAATCATTAAGGTTTCCTAAAAGATCTTATTAACTAGAAAAAGGTCAAAGCACACTTAAGTTACCCTAGCAAGAGAGTCTACTGTGATTTTTAAAAGCTTTTGAAGCCTGCAATTTTTGCATGCTCTCTTCTTCACATACATTTAGGTGTTTGAAAGGAGACAGGCCTCTGACGAGGCAGTTCAGATAAAGGCAAAAGCTATTCATTTTTTCTCAGGTAAGAGGTGATCAAGAGAGAGCATGATGTCTGTGAAAACAACTATTTACAGAGCATCACTACCTAGTAGCATTCAGTGCCAAAAGGTAGTCTTGGCTCAGATACTGTTGATAAAACACTGATAAAACCCAACTGTAATGAAAAATGAGGCAACCTTCAGGTCAGGAAGTGCAAACCAGACACTACCAGTCAAAATCTCCACAAACATCAGTTTCAGTTGATGAACTGAAGAAACAGAAGAAAGGTACACTCTATCAGTCTGAATCTCACCAGTAACACACAGAATGTTGTTTAGTATATTTAGGTATACTTACTGCTTTAATCAGTGCTGCTCTAGTCAAAAGTAGGGCTTTGGAATTGAAAACTTCTATCATTAAACTTACCAAGCAAACAGAAGGTGAAATAGTTGAAAAACTGAAAGAACTAGAGATTTCTAGGGAAAGAAACAATATAGGAAGAGGAGGAAACAATTTGGTATTTATCTTTATATACAATACTGAAATAAATGTAATAACCTTTTCATGTTTTAAAATTTTGCTTTTGAAATAATCTGGATTAAGCAATATGGGAGTGCAATATGGGATCTTAAAGCTGCAAGCAGTCCTTTGCCTTACTGCTGCCAACAAGAAAAAGTATATAATAGTTCTACTTTTTCCATTTTTGAGTATTACTGTAAGGGAAAAAAAAAAAAATTATTTCCAAATTCAAGTTCTTCCACATCTGTGTCTTCTGTTATCCTCTGTGCTCTAATTTTTAAATGTTCCAAGTATTCTACAAGAAGGCTATCTGTAAGACTGTGCTGGTTTTGATACTACTACCTCTGCCATTTAAGGTGTTCTCTTGTATATCTTTTGTGTGTGCTTGATCACGCAAGTATTACTTATCGTAAAGATCCATGATTGCGACTGAAAAATATGTTTTCACCTAATGAAGGAAATCTATTAATGTCCTTTTCCTGCCTAACTTGAAGCAAACAAGGAAATGCACTTCAAGACTAAATTTTCAGCAGCAAGAGCAAAACATACCTGTCTTGTGTTAATACCAGTCAAATTTTAAACTGGCAATTAATGGTTAAAGAACTGTCCTCCATGTTTATGTTGACATGGAGGTTGTTGTTTATGTTGGTAATTTCAGTAGCAAATATCTCATAAGCAAGAAGACAAAAGTTTATCGCCTCCAACATCCCTGTTAAGACCGTCAACAGTGACATGAGTTCAGTTGCCCCCTTCTCCCACATTTAAAAGAAAACAAATTATTTACGTTCCATTAAATACAGCTGTTCTGGTTTCTGTAATATTGCAAAAGCAACAGACAGTATTATTACTATGCTTGCTAAGTCACAAAAGTTATGCTTTAATGGAAGGGGTTCAATTTCTAATAAGTGGAAAGTAATCTCCTAGACAGTATAGATGCCAAAAAAGAAATCCTCATAGTGTTACGTGTTATAAATGCCTTGTTTTACCTTATAGAATACCACACTTGAAAGGCCATTTTACACAAAAAATAATTTGGTTTTCTCTTCAGAACTTCTCTACACATTGAACAAAATGTTTTAAGTCCATGTCCCTAATGACCAGTGACACACTGTTAAACCTAAAGAGCTCGTAGAGGTATTTGTTTAGAAACTTCTGATAAAAAAGAAATCCTCTGTGAGCAGCCAAGCTTCTGAAAATGTTGATGTAAAAGACAAGTAAACCCATACATTGTAGCTACAAAAATTTTTAAGTTTTAAAACCTAAATGTATATGAAGAATGGATACAATCTTTGAATTAAGTGACCTGGACTTCTTACCTCTCTTCACTATTTACGATTAAGATCTGGAATATCTGGAAACAAACAGGTGAATGAAATTATTCCTCCTTTTTGTTTTATGCATTCAGTTTTATAACAGATACAACTATTTTCTGCTCCCCTCTATTCAAACCAAGTAGCAAAAAATACTTTTATGTGGCCAACAAAGTAGTATAGTATGTGCAGAAATTAAAGTACTAAGGAGGTAAAGGAGGCTACAGAGAGCTGATGCTTAAATATTAAATAACATCAGAAGTAGAGCTAAAGACCCTTGTAATTTTACACACAAAGACACAACTGTTTTGCCAATTATTAACTAAAAGAGTTTGCTCTCAGTTTGTAGACAGGACATTTATCTTCAAATTCATAAAGACTTGGCAAGTAATCATTCTCACAAAAATATTTTGCCAAGACAACTACAAAATATACGTCTTGATTTGCTGCCCTTAATCTTTGTTCAGTAAATACTAAGTGTGGGTGTGCTGGCTGGAATTATACAGTGAGCTTTACAGAAACTTCTCTGCCTTTATTTATGTCACGTAATACCATGTTATTTTTCCTTTGCTAATACACAGCACAATTTCAGAGCAAGT